GACGCTCGCGCTTGTGTACTATCGAGTGGCATTCCGTCGCGCCTCTGGAGCGACATTTAGATAGCGACGTCAACTGTCTGCGGGAGTAAATCTGTCTTGGAAGCAAAGGCAGCGCACTTCCCCCAAAAGCGACGGCGACGAGCCCTCGCTACCGAAGCGAGCGAATTCACTTCTGATCGAATTAGCGCGTCACAGTTCCCTGATACCCCGACAGTCTGAATTAATTAACAGGAGAACGCGCTAGGTAAGCAGCCATTATCGAAATAAAGCAGCCTGATATGAGGCGTTTTGACGTCAGATAACTTCAGCGGCCAGACGATATAACGGGTGACCCGCAGAAATGAACTTGAATAGAACTTCACTGAACTGTAACTGGAATTAACGGATGATTGTCCTTACTGAGGCGAAAACTTCGGATAGTTTAACTGAAATTTATGAATACTCGATTCGTAAGATACAAAGAGTGCCAGAAGATTCTACTGAACTGGAACAACGAGGTCGCTGAAGCTCGCTAGATTTCTTTGCGAAAATCCACCAGAAAATGCAGGCATCCCCCAAACTTTGAGGAATCTCGGGAACCGCTAACTCTCAAAGTTACCTCGCAGAAACTGTGGACATTCGGAAACCACGAGAAACCCTTCAATCTTAGCCTAATCATTAGAACCTGTCTCCTAGATGATGAGTATGCAATATCTTACTTCATAATATCCAGGTAAACAGATTCACGACGAAACAAACTATCGAAGAGGAAGCTACACATCGATCGATGCTCGCAATACGGTAGACGGATAATATTTGTCACTTAGTCCCCGAAAAAAACTGTTTTCCGCCAAGTTGCCTAGCGGCATGCCTAGCAAACGTCTTGGCGCGGAGTAGCAGCGCCTTGACTCCATTAACTTCACACTTAGGAGCACCTTAGAAACCCCGGTGCCGTCGGAAGATCTGATTAGGGGTTCGAGTCTCTGCTAAACGCGTTAGTCTCGACTGTAGAACGTCGAAGGGAGTGAGGGTACAGCTCCATCAGGTGCTAGAACGGTGGCTCAGCGAGGTGGCGAGACAGAGAGAGGAGATAGGAGCGGTTGTCTCTCCATAGTTTGATGCAAATTGAGTCGGAGCGCCACCAACTACCAAGAATATAGACGCTTTCCGTGGCTCTTCTCTCGCTCTCCAACCACCTCCTCCCCCCTCTTCCCACTTCCCTCTCTTTCTCCGTCTTTCCCTGGGCTAGGACTCAACGATCAAGTACAAAATTTATTCCCTACAACCTTCTCACCGCCGCGCCGCTGCATCTCCTCGCCATCTCTGGTCTTGACTACCGCCAAAGTGTTGCCGTTTGGGGTTTCTCACCCTCCGCTCTCTGATTCGCTCTGTTTGCCGACGAATCTCGGAGGCTTCCTCTCGGCTTAGCGGCGTACAAAGTCGCGCCGTAGAAAACGATGAACGACTCGCGACACAACCCTTCCCCTATTGCCACCGGCTTCCCCGTTTCTGCAACTTTTCCGCATTCCTTGGATGTCATCGTTGAAATAATCAATAGCTGTAGGTATAAATGGGACAGTGAAACAGTTAGTCCAGTGAATATTTGCCAGTCTTTCAGAGGAGTACGAAACAATCGAGGAAACGAATGGTTGATACCGAAAGACTATTCGATTCATTCAAGCCAGTCGAACCGTAGCTCCTTTGTTCAGAAGCATATACGTGTACACGCACACACGCGTGCTTCAAAAAGATATCGCGATCCTTTCGGTGCCATTTAACGCCACTAATGTCACAAGCGTTTAGCGGTGCACCGACGCAATCTATATCGCGTATCTAGCCGGGAAATCACAACACCATTATACTATGATCTCGTTGCCCTCCTCCGCGTTCTCTCTCGCGTCTCGCCGATCTCTCTGTCTAATGTTCCCTTTTTATGGTGCACGATTCGAGGCTGCCCCCGGGATCGATTTTACTTCACGCCATGCCACTTATCGTACCCCGTTACGGTGGAGCATTGCTTTTTATGGCGGTCCATGCTAGATGTTCCGATCGCTCTCTGGTACTCCCGCTATATTCCTCCCTCCGCCACCCTCGGCAACCGTCCCTCCGCCGGCCCTCTGCCTCCCCGTGTTCCCTACTTTCTGCCTGCCGGAATCGCGGAATTAAAAGAATGGAAAATCGAAGGGTGATCACCGTCCGGGATGTCAGTTACGAACACCGAACAGATGCTATCTCAATTCATTTTTGATGACGGTAAATCATCCCCGCACGCGGATCGATCGAGAGCCACCGCCGTAATAACGGGCTGCGTATTGGAAAGTGCTCCCGCTTTTTCCTTGTCGAGCGAGGGGATTCCTCGCGACTATATCTTCGAGAAACCAACGTCGAACAAACACCGAGGAATGTAAAATTGACCCTTATAGTTGTCGACGTTGGACAGAGTACTTCTGCGACCGGGATAGCGAGGCATCGATGCGCGTAACGGTATATCGCTGTCAGCACTTTCCGCGAGTGTTGCTAACAATGATATTGTTCGGCGCTGTAAGGGTTAAACGTGGTAGTCCGCGGTGTCGTTTAAAGAAATGGCGCACGCTGCTGGCTCGGCTCGTTTCGAATGCTGCGAATGCCCCGCGCATCCGTACGGCCGGGTGGTCCGGGCTAGGTGCTGAAAAAAATCACGTCTGCATTTACATAAGCGCCGGTATAAACCACTCGACAGAAATCCCGACATAAAACTCAAACAGGATCCCAGCACGGGACAGCGCATCCGTTGAATACGCAATGCCCAGATGTACTCGATGTACTGATCCCCTCCCCACCTCCCGGGAAATGCTTTTATTATTCACCGGTGAGTTACGATACTAAGATACACCCTCCGTGTTTACACCTACCCCGACGTCCGCATAACGATGGATCGTCGTCTTCTTACAGCGGTCGCTGGCATCGCGTCGGATTTGAAACGAGCATCACGTTCCACAATTTTCGGCAGTTTATTCGTTACTTAATCCTTCGCGCTCGGGTAATTCTTGATTATTATTCTAAAAACTGACATTCGAGGATACATTCTGTATAATATTATTAACACGTGAAACATTGTAACGAAATAGTTCTTCAAATTGTACGAAGCGTTATAAATACTTCACCTGGAAAATAGAAATATTTCTAGCGACAAGGCTTCCCAGTGCAACGGGTCAATCATCACAAGCGATTTCATTGGAAATTCCAATTCACCGGTGACATTCTAACTTTCAAGAACAATCAGTTCGAAAGATTTGTCTGGTTTCCTCGAGTCTTGTGATTTGCGTCGCGTGTATAATCAAAAATGTAGATCGAACGGACGTAGCACACCGCGGCGTCCTTTATTTTTCTATAGCCCGAGTCCGTTTCCGATGTCGATGCGCACGGAGCGCGCAGCTACGTGACCGGTCGCGAGATTAAATAATAAAGGAGCCCGGCTCGGACCGTTTTATTCGAGCGAGACAAATCGCGGGAACGGGCCCGTCATATCACGGTCGATACGAAGTATGTATAACACTCGGAGAGCGATGTTCACGGCACCTGACGAGCATTCCAAGGCGGCGCGTATCCTGACAAAACGATTTTCGAGTCCCCCGCTGGATCCCGTTGGATCTATTGTGCTCGTTGGAAGCCAGCCACCCTTACGATCCACGTCTCCCGGAGCTCTTTAGCATTTTCAGCGTATCGTTCTTTATGCGGACACCCGAACGGAGCGCGCCCCTCCTCCGAAGTTGTTCGCGCGGCGCCGCGGTTAGAGAAAAAATTGACTTTTAAGCCGGCAATAAAAACGAAAAATGCGAAATCTTTGATTTTAGAGGCGGCACCTCACCCTGCGCCGGGGCGACAGTTGGTCGATGCGTATAACCCCAGCGGCAACCTTATTTCTCTTATATCGCAAGCGAAGCACGTCCGTACTTCGCCACCATTTCGAAATCTGACTGTGTATATAGCGGCCGGATACCGTAACGGATTCCTAGGAAGTCCCATCGATTTCATACGCTGAATTTCAACGCGCACTTCGCGGGAACGTTTAACATTGGTAGAAAAATCTTTCGTGTGTAGTTAAAGGAGCTAATTGATGATCGTTCATTATCGTTATCAGAACGAGGACTGATTTGTAGCTGATGATGGTTTAATGTACTATGGAGGATGACTGAAATTTTTATATTATGTATAATCTTGCGAATGATTTGCTTTTGATATGTTGCATAGGGATTCAGAAGATTCCAAAGAATTAATATTTTAATCCATAAATTGCAGATGTATTTAACACAGTCGGCGCCATGTTAGTCACTGATGACCGACGAATTACATGAAAATCATAACATGCAAGATAACCAATTTCCATTGAAAATATTTAGTGATAGGGAAAGTAAAGTGATAATCGTGTAATGAAAAACTGTCAAGATTTTCGTGGCGCTTAACGTGTTAAAGGCGAATCATGCGAAAATGCGTAAGATTTCGATTCCGAGCCGGAACTCGTCGAGCGCAAAGGGAAGGGAAAAGGTTGAATCAGGAAAAGACTGGGCGGTAATCCAGGTACAATGTAGCGTCTGCGAATCGAGTGGAAATTTACATTTAAAGGACCTCGAAGACACTTTCGGAAGCTACAGCACCGGCAGCGTTTCGCTGCTTGTTTTTATTTTCTCGCAATTTCCTCGGCGGAGCAGAACGGAAAGCGGCCTTAAAAGGAATTAGCACGCTTTACTACTCCGCCATCTCCGACAACCCTTAGACGGAGTTTCTTCGAATCTTTGCCACTTGAGAGTTTCATCGACCGTGTTGATCTCGACGATATCACTGCATAATTGTTGTGAAAAATGTACCAAGGCTCTAACAGTTGCGTTAAACGCGATTATTTGTTTAAACCATGATTCAGTTAGGATCTTCGTTAACCATATTTCGAAGCACCCTCCGGTTACACAAGAATCGCGTAATAAAAGTAATAAAATCAACATAATTTCCATGAAATAATCCACGGAACTGTTTCAATTTGTTCACAGATTCTGCATCGGCGACAGATTCTACTTATACGAGAACAAAATCCTGTGCGAGTACGACTACGAGGAAAGACTGGTTTTCGCGAACATGGCGGTGCATCCGCCACCAACGGCGACCCTGGCGCAAATTAAGAGACAAGTGACGCATCTTCAACCCCAGGTAAATTGTATATTCAATTTCTTGCTTCTCAACATTCGGAAGAAGATAAATCTATAAAGTGAAGTAGCAGTTGAAATCATTTTCTTAAGCCTAACACTAGAGCTACCGGATGTATCAAACTGATCCTGATTTCTCCTTTTACAATGATGGAAAAGGTATAGATTCTCTGAGAAATTATTAAAGATGATTCAGTAATACTTAAACTGAAATATAAGTCAATGAAACTCCTAGTAACCGCACGCTTATAATTTCTGAAAGAAATTTGGAAATCCAGTTTAAATGCTCGGCAGTTCTAGCGTTAGACGAACAAAGATATTATTATGATATTATGACTGTTGACTGCGAGTCGCTGCACTGACCATGCAAGCGTATCAGTATCCGAGGCACACCGGCCGGGCAGCTTTGAATCTTCCGGAGATTACGATCATCGGATGTTCGGGAAGGTTCAAAACTCCTCAAGACGTAACCCCTTAAGGTGGGTTAAAGTGGCAGGTCGCTCATCCTGACCCTCTCGACAACAAAGGACTCCCTCGAGGCTTCAGCTATGCTTTACCACCCCACCGGCGTCTTACGAGTTAGGATATCGCGTGTCCTTATTAATTAAGCTCGCCCGTTAAGCAAGCCTCATCGCATACCATAACGATCCGTCCTCTCGAACGACGCTGGAACGTGCGAAAGAATTTACTCTTTGAATAAGGATTCACCAGCGTCTTAAGTGGAATTACTTAGCTAAAATCCGCGCACCCTCTAAGTACTTCCACCCTTCCGCCCTCGAAAAATGTTTTCGGATCGAACGATACGACGGACGTACTTGGAAAGACATTTTCATCGGATTCTTCGAGTTGAGAGTTCGATGGTTCAGCGTTCTATGCACCAACTTCTAGCAGTAAACCGTTTCACTAACACCGTTGAACCAAATAGTTTTGCATATAGTAAACGTTTAACTCGCAACGTAGTATTCACGGTACGATAAAAAGAAGGGAACAATATTTGTCTAATGTCGATAAGAAGGTTCCTCGATAGGGAACCCTTTACAAGCTGGAATTATGAACTCGTCACGCTAAGCCGTTTGGGTTTCTTGATTATCTTAAGGCAACAGCCGTGCTTCCGAACAATATCTTAAGCCCCTGCTGCACGGAGGACCAGGTCCTGTCTGACCCAAGGAGGATCCGATCTACTTAATCCTGCCTCCGTCTTGCAAGGATGTTTACGTCCCCTAACATGCTTACGTCACGTACCGTAATTTGCCAAGAGTAATATTTAACGGTCGGCCATCCTACGGCGCCTGCCTCTGGCCTTTAAAATTCGACGGCACGATAAACAATCTGTCGATCAGTTGCAAACGTTATGCAGGCTCGTGGGGTTCCTCCAGCGGCCGAGCTCGCGCCGGCGATCGCTTCGATTGGCCCTAATCCCGGTTCATTAGGCGAAAGGCTTGCACGGTTGCTTAAAACTGTCGTTAAGGAAGTTTCGAGACAAAGTTTTAAGGCTGGTCGAAGACCGTAGATTACCCGGGCACACGCTCGAATGGTACGCATGCACAGAATAACGAGGTTCCCAAGTCCGATGATATCAGACCCGGCAGCGTGTACTACTTATAATATGCAAATTTCCTCCCCTTAACCGTCCTGCCAGCGAACTGCGTGTAATTCAGGGGTTGCTAACCCTTGCGACTCTATTTCTACACCACGTAAGTGTTCATGTTTCTGCGCGGGAGCCTTATGCGTGCGAAACCACCTCGTCGTGCGTGGTACGCCACGCCGTGCGTGAGTGTTTAGTTCAATTAATATCAGTTTGCACGTTCGCCGGGTGTAGCGAGCCCGGCGAATTGCAAAGAGACCTGGGAAATTGATCCTGTCAATGTACCTACGCGTGGAACAATTGTGTAGAATTAATATGCATTTCGAGAATACACGTAGCTTTTAAATGTTTCTTGGAACTAAGTGTTACACGCGATGATGACTTTCCGCTGAGGGCAATACGTAAGCAACTTGAAAATACCGAATGGTGATACATATTTAACGCGAGGCGATAAAGTTACGTTAACATCGCTAAACAGTTGATTACAATTCTCCAGCAGCGGTTTCAGCGTTACATTATCGAGCTCGTTTACTTGAAACCTGTTTGCTCTAACAAAATTACGAAAACAAACCCCTATTGATTAATTTACTGTCCTTCATGCGCGGGATCGTATAGAACAATGTCCACCTTGTTCGTTTCATTTTTGAATCTACTAATCAAATGTTAACGAATTTACACCAAATAAAAAATAATGTATCGTGATTTTATTGTATTTATAGTAACAGAAACGTTTACACTTAATCGGAGCACTGGTTATTCAAGAGAATATTGGTACAATCCGACTGTCATCAAAGTGAAAAGTATTCCTCAAGCTGGTATCCATCTTTGATGCGCGACGGATCGAAAACCGTTCGGTGGAGTATCGATTCAACGGTAGACCGTACAGCGGAGGGTTATAAATGACCGTTGCGCGAAATAACGGGATGGCAGACTAATGCCAATAATCGGCGTGGCATGCTAATGTCGTTTGCGCATCTATTACGTTAAGCCTGATGGATCCCTCTTGACATGTCGTTGCTGGAGCGTGAATACCTTCGATCGCGGCGGGAACACTCAAAGGTGTCTGCCGACCCAACATCCAGGGGGCTGTTCTATTTCCTCGGTAAATGTCGCGTTGACATTTAGCATCTGAATGGAAAAGACGATCGCCGAGACAGCTGGTCTCCGGTGCCAGGTTGACGGGCTAGATAATGTCAGATCACGAATCGTCTCTCGTTAATTGTCACGGGCGAACATGAAACTGCGCCGTGTTCCAAACTGTGGCGATTCGAAGACCGTGACAACTACTACGCCCGCTATAATTTTCCACGGCAACGGAAACATTAACGATTCTGCTCCAACCACATCACAATTAATGGAAGTATTATATCATCGATTAGTCAACTTCTAACGCTAGATTCTTGGAACGCGTCCATTTGATATTGAATTCTACAAACATTATTTCATAAAAGATTACGTCAATTTCGAAGCAATTACACGAATGTATAATTGACTATTTTCAAACGTCTAAATCCCAAGATGTAAATAAACGAGCACCAGTCTCTCTGGGAACAATAGAATCAACTGTACCGTAAATCTCCGTAAATCTAGTGTTGAAAGATAATAAAAGAACTACCCAAAGCCCTTGCTACGAGACGCATCAGCAACAATCGTTATCAATTCAACCACATTCCAAAACTCTTTCGTGAAATCCAGATCTCCGTCGGTTCCGCCCGCGAGTTTTAAAACTAAGAAGATCGTGGGAACGGATTAAACGGGAGCGACGATCAACAGGAGTTAAAGGGAGGCAAGGATACAGGCCGAGTCCCTGTCGGAATTAGACGTCGCCGTCGCGACGAAATGCAAAGTGTCGTCGGTGCTATCTCGGCTTGACGAAATCAAGAGGGGAATAGGGCCGGCGAAGAAAGGAGGGCGTTAAGATTCTTAAAAACCGCGAAGAGGGTGCTCGTCCCGGCGGAGGCAGCTGCTGCCCCGGCGCTCTCCTTAAGCCGCGGCTCTGGGAATGTCGGAATGCTGTCTTGGCTGAACGAGGAGGACGGTAGTTTTTCTGATTGCCTGTGAACAGACAGCTGTCCCAATCTTTCGCAGCCGTGGCTCCGGGAGAGTATCTCGTCCCCAGCTCTTGTAAATAATGCCCGGCAGCGCGCGGCGTTTACGAATAACTCGGCCGTGCGGAGCGAGCCAAGGTAAACAGGTAGCCGGAGGGCGATAACGGAGAGGAGGGAAGAAAAACGACGATGATCACCCTCGGTAAATTCAATTACATTCTTCCGACACGCTTCTGGTTTTCCACAATTGCGGCCTTTCGAAGGAATGTCAGCGATGGGGACGCGTGAGTGGCTTAAGCCCGATATACGCTGCCGATCGGGTCTTGATCGGCTTTCGATTCAATGAAATATACCTCTAATTGGTAATAATCCACGTATTCACAGTATGAATCCGAGTTCGATCTAGATCTACTTTCGTTCATCGAAAGCAGAAGACGAGGAAGGAATTCTAAGCAGACCGATACTATGTATCGGGCTTCATGGCGTCGATCGATCGCCGGGATCGCTTATCGCCGCGCAAACTTTCGTTCCGACGACGCAATCTCCCCTCCCCTCCGCGGCTCCCCTCGGCGACGAGTGTAACGTGTTTAAAAATTGGCGAGAAGTCTTATTTTGATCTAATTTCTCCCCCGGGACCCGTCGAGGAAAGCGGAACGCGAGAAAGGGGTTGGCGCACGGAACGGGGGCGGGACCGAGACGGAGCGAGCGCCGTACGCACGGGAGAAAGAGCGAGAAGCAGAAGCAGGGAGGGAGCTCGAAACGATTATCTGAGTTTTAAAACAAACTCTCAA